CACCAGTTTTACGAACAGTGAATGAAAGGTATACATGTGATAACATATACAGTTATTGTGCATCCTCTTTTGACACGTTTTTGCTATAATAGGCGGATCCAGGCGTCCAAAAAGGGGGGTTATGTTTTACCTCCCAACATAGGTGCCCTGACACCGCCTATGCATGACCAATACAATTGTAGTCGTTCTCTCATAAGAAAATTGTAACATAACAAGACCATTACCACCCTTTTTAGAAACAGTACCAACAAAAACCTTATTTACTATACTTTTTGTGTACCCCCAATCTCAATGATCTGTATCCGCCTATGATTTTTGAAAATGCATATTTTTAGGATCCATGTGAATTCCTGGTTCATTCTCTATCGATCGGCAAAAGTTGCGTTAGGATTGGTTCAGAAACCTGGCCGTGATAAACAGTCAAAAATGTATCTGCAATTTGCCCGTTTTTACCCCCCTCTACCCCCCCTGTTGACATATTTTAATTTTTATTTTTTAGAAATGTAGATCACGTTGAGCGAAATCGAATGCCGTTTGAATTTTGAAAATCGGCCCGTTAGATCTCGAGATATCAAGGGGGGGTCGTAAACAGCCCCCCCCCCCCCTGCCACTAATAGGGGTATACCAGGAGCCTGCCACTAATAGGGTTAAGTTTTGACTCAATTCTTACTCGCTTTGTAAACACCATTTAGGGCACCAAAAACGGAACCCCTTTCCCGGGGCATGTGGCAGTTGACCTGACTTTAAATGTCACCGGTTGACCTTTGACCTAGAAATCGGATAACAGTCGCTGTAGCTTGTAACGGTGCACCCGCTCGTTATTTTTCCGCGAGGATTTAATTTAGGCAATAAGGGGCGAAAAGGCAAAGGGGTCCTCCCCGCCCTCCCTCGGCCTAGGCAGAAAGCTGTATGTAGAAAACCGACAGTTCTGGCGCTTGTTGCTTCTAAAAGCAGCTTGAATAAGCTACTCTTCCCTGTTTTAGAAGGAATTGTTCAGTGCTTGGTCCTCCCAGCTCACTTACTACAGATATACGAGGTATTTAGGTAGGTATTTGAATATGACTTATATTAGGTCGTTCAATAAGTAACGAACAATCGGTCATAACTTCTTTATTTCTTTATTTAACACTTTCAAACTTTCACAGATTATAGATCAAATGTTTTTGAATGTTGCCTTTGCCTCAAACCAGTCGCCGCCCGCCTGCACACACTTCTCCCAGCGTTCCGGCCAACGCCGGAATTCCGCCCGGAAAAACGCGTTTTCCGTCTTTTTCACCCAATTCTTGACAGCGCACCTGACTTCAGCGTCGGTCTCGAAGTGTTCACCACGGAGGCCATCCTTCAGGGGACCAGAAGTGAAAATCTGAAGGAGCCAGGTTCGGACTGTAGGGCGGCTGGGGCATGATATTCAGCCCTGTCTCGCGATCTCCTCGCGTGTGGCGTGAGACATGTGCGGACGAGCGTTGTCATGGTGTCATCCTGGTGGGCTTTCTTGAACCTGGGCGGACTATGGACAGCGGGCCGCTACATCACAGTCCTGCAGGAGACTGAGAAAAACAATCCTGAAGAAGCGGCGCGGCTCGGATGTCAAGAACATCACCATACACCATGACAACGCCCGACCGCACTTGTCTCACGCCACGCGCGAGGAGATCGCGTGACGGGGCTGAATATCATGCCCCAGCCGCCCTTCAGTCCGGATCTGGCTCTTTCAGATTTTCACCTCTTTGGTCCCCTAAAGGATGGCCTCCATCGTGAACACTTCGAGACCGACGCTGAAGTCATGGCGCTGTCATGAACTGGGTGAAAAAGACGGAAAACGCGTTTTTCCGGGCGGAATTCCGGCGTTGGCCGGAACGCTGGGAGAAGTGTGTGCAGGCGGGCGGCGGCTGGTTTGAGGCATAGGCTGCATTCAGAAATGTCTGATCTATAATCTGTGAAAGTTTGAAAGTGTTCAATAAAGAAATAAAGAAGTTATGACCGATTGTTCGTTACTTATTGAACGACCTAATAAAAACATATAAGAAAACGTTTAACCGTTTTTAACCCTCGCACGACCAGGCCATTTCTCATAACACGAACGACCAGGGGGGGGGGGGGGTTGTTACGACCCCCCCCCCCCCCCTGGCGTTTCGAAACGGAAGGTCGTAGAGCTTAGCGGAAAAAACCAACGGATTGCTCTCAACGAGATCTCGCGATTGGTGGTATATTTTTTGGTCCTAGGTCAACATTTGACCTACTTTTGACCGGTCAAAGGTCAAATTTTCGGAAAAATATACTTTTTTCAACTTTCGGCGGCGATTGCGGCAAAACGGTGGGAGATATCGACTTGAAACCTTCACTATCGTGTTCCTTGATCAATTCTCTATCGTTTGGTATGTATTTCGTTTCCCTAGCTCTAAAAATGGCGCGTTGGGAGCGCCGGAAGTCGGCAAGGTCACAGTCGGCGGCAGAAATTCGAAAAATCAAAATTTAAATTTTTGAAATCTGATTGTATTTTTGGATTTGGGAGGTCCATTTGCTCCCTATAGAAGCTAATATTGCTGCATATTCCCATTGAGGTGACAAGAATTAGCAAAATAGTGGTTCGGGCGCTTTTCAAAAATAGTACCGGACGCTGTTCCTCTTGTGACGTCATAGCTCCGTGACCTGACCTGACCCGGTCAAATTTCTTATACCATATGATAGCCAATACTTGCCCCAACATGCATGGGAAGTTTCATCACGATCCATCAACCGATATCCGTACCACCGGCAGGAAACCTCGGGCGTTGGCACTCAGTTTGTGAAAATCCGGCCGGAGGCTGTACCTCTTATGACGTCATAACTCCGTGACCTGACATGACCCGATCAATTTTTTTTCGGCAAAAGATGCGCAAAGGTTGCCCCAGAGGGTATTGAAAATTTCAGCCCGCTACGACAAGCCGTTTAGCGTGCACTTCGAAAAAACCTCAGGGGGGGGGGTTGATACAACCCCCCCCCTAGGCGTTCTAGGGTTAAAACTTATACAATTTATATGTTTTGATAAATTTGCACGTTAAAAACGTTTATAAAAAGTTAAAAACTTTGATAACAAAAACGTTTTTAGAAACGTATGACCGGAGCGGTGATGAAGTCGCTTTTAGACGAAACCGGTCCGCTCGATTTTTACGGAGCGAGCGGAGTCTCATTACGGAGCGAGCGAAGCGAGCGTAGTCTTTCCTTAGATTAACGGAAATTTCTGAGTATGAGCGGCCGGCCGGCCGGCCGTGGTCACGCTTTTGCGAGGCTTATATCTCAGCAACCACTTGACCGATTTACACGCGGTAATTTTTGTAGGGTAGCTTCATTCCTTCTACCAAGTATTGGACTATTCCCGATGCATGTGGGTGACCCCTTATGCACGTGCCACGTGCAAAACGAAGAGGTGTCAGTTTTGCAATTGTTGCAATATCTCGGTAACTACTTGGCCGATTGCGCTGAAAGTTGGCATGCAGGTAGGCACCCACTAGGCACTGCATATACATGTGCCAGAGTTGGGGTGCTGCTGCACGTGCGCACGTGCAGGGGTCGTTTCCAGATCTCGGGAACGGCTGGACCGATTGCGCTCAAATTTGGTACACGGTTAGGGACCGGTTAATAGGGTGCCGTGCACAAGTCAGTTGGGACCCATTTTGCACGTGCGCACGTGCAGGGTGCCGCTTCCAGATCTCGAGAACGGCTGGGCCGATTGTGCCCAAATTTGGCACATCGCTAGAGACCAGTTAGTAGGGTGCCGTGCACAAGTCAGTTGGAGGTACCCCCTCGCAATTTCGCACGTGCAAGGCCCACCCTCTCGCTCGCTCCGTTAGTCGCCCCAAAAGGCGTTATACTGGTACTGAATTAAGGGAAAATCCTGAGTATGAGCGGCCGGCCGGCCGGCCGGCCGTGGGGACGCTCTTCAAAAGCTAATATCTTAGGAACGGGACATCCGATTGACAAGCGGTCTTCTTTACTGAATGCCACTTGGACGTAAAAGTTCTGTGGTGTGATGGCCACCATGCGTTCTTGCCAACCACCGCACGTGGCGCGTGGTAAAGTTGGACATTTTTTAAGAACCCCCAAAATTGCAACCTCAATAACGGCACAACGGTTGGGCCGATTGAATTGAAACTCGGTACACAGTTAGGTCTCCATCAGATAATTCATCTGCATGTGTTAAGGTTGGGGTGCTACAGCACGTGCGCACGTGCAGGGGGCGCTCCCAGATCTCGAGAACGGCTGGGCCGATTGCGCTCAAATTTGGTACACGGTTGGGGACCAGTTAGTAGGGTGCCGTGCAAAAGTCAGTTTGGACCCCGCTTGCACGTGCGCACGTGCAGTGTGCCGCTTCCAGATCTCGAGAACGGCTAGGCCGATTGCGCTGAAATTTGGCACATCGCTAAAGACCGGTTAGTAGGGTGCAGTGCACAAGTAAGTTGGAGGTACCCCCTCGCAATTTCGCACGTGCAAGGCCCATCCTCTCGCTCGCTCCGTTGGTCGCCCAAAAGGCGTTTTACTGGTATATAGGTAGTTGTTTTAACATATTCGTAGACTACTTGCTCTAATGCTCTGTACTGTAAACCTGTCCAGTACATCTGCTTTCGGCTTTCCATTGCATATAACTTGCCAATTGAATTCCTTTTGCTGAAAAGAATTAGGTGGTGGAAAAGTAATATGATTGCTATGATATGAAAAAAGGTAGGTATCATCATGGTATCATAGAAAGCGGCATTTGTACAGAAATTGATCATTTTGCTTGAATTCATTTAGTGTTCATAATCCTCAGGGTATTCATCAGTCATTCATGTATATTTTTAGGATAGTGGGCGATGAACTCTGTCCGCGTGAGAATCTCGGCGTTCTCTCAGGCGCGCCCAGAGGCAGAAACAGAGCCATCAGCCCGGAAGGATGATACCTCTTCCCGATCCCACGCTCAGCGGCGCACGTCCCGGTGGAGCCGTTCATCACTGGTGCGTGCTGCCGTGGGCGCGCACTGCTCAATGGCTCCGACTCCGAGCGCCGCCGGCGGGCTGCGGAACCGGAGACTCCCGTGTGCCGCTACCGGCGACCGCCGCGGCCCGCCAGTCGCCTCGTGACGCCCGTGACGCCGGTCTCGTCTGTCGGCACGTCTCCGGAGACACAAGGAGAGGAGGCGCATAGAGAGGAGAGAGACACAGAGTTGCGGACGGCGTGGACGGGACTGGTGGAGACAGGAGGACGGCAGAGCCGCGTATCTGAGGCGGTGATATATAAGAGGTGAGTTGAGCTCTTATAGGCAGACATGTGCATGGATCCGAGTGCTGGATCTATGATCTCAGTTGATCTCAGAGCAAACTGCAGGCTAGGATCCATGATCCCACCGGATCCGGCGTAAAAGATTTGTTCTAGATCTATGATCTCATAGGATCTCATGATAAACCCAGAACGTGGATCTATAGGATCCCGTATGCAAAAAAAAATGGAACCCAGGTTTCGAAGTGTTTTTAAGTCAATGAGTGCCACAAAACTATGGATTATGACGTGCAATCACATCAAATCACTAAAACAGAACGTTTGCGAGCTGCAGCAAGTGATTTTTTTATATTTCTGCGTTGACAAAAAATATATTATCTATGATCTCAATGGATCTCGAGCAAATTAGACTCGGATCTATGATCCCTAAGGATCTCTCGACAAATCACATAGCTTGATGTATGATCCCGTCGGATCCGAGATCAGGATCCTTCCATCCCATGACAAAACTCCTGAAAAGACAGTGCCCGGTTTTCATTAAACGAACTGAAGAAAAGACGAAATCATAATACACCGAACTGAACAAAGACGAAAATAACAATACACTGAATGCAACTATACAATATAAATTTCACCTGAATCACAACTTTGGATTCAGAAACGCAAATTATGATTGTTGCGAGTAGTTAATGCACAGCTCGTCCAGACGAATCGACCGGTATGATACACGACCCATGTGTATCAGGTCGTGACCTCGACATGGGGTCTGTTTTTATGTATTTCACATTTTCGGATCATATTTTCAGCTTTTCAGCATCGAGGAAAATACACTGTTGGTCCTGTAGAAATGAAAGTTCTTAGACTGTAGAGTGTGGAACCGCAACTCATAAGCTATTCCTACTTCCCATGACCTCTGTGGGTCAAACGGTTGGCCTGAAATGAAGGCTGTTGACTGTTTACATTTTTTGCTCTAACGAAAAAATAATTGAAATATTTTAAGACTTGTTTTTTTTTTAATGCCGTTCGTCGCCTCTCGTTACTCTGTTTAATTTTCGACTGCTCCAGCTGAACAGTACATGCACCCCTTTCCTCCCGTGGGATGTTGGCACGGCTACCAACATGCGCTTGTTGTTATGCATTGCATACATTGACAATGTTAGCCCGAATAGAAGCTTGAAGCCTTTTCCCTCCTTTTGGGATTTGTACGAAGTTACGTTTTCCACTGAGGCTAGTCATTAATTTTTTAGGGACTCACTTCGCTAGGATTGTGTTATGGAGTGGGTTCCAATGTGCACGATTTTTTACTTATTTTCCTGAACTTGTTTTTGATAAGTTCGCTTGCATCTGGATTTTATGTAACTTGAGCTTGTTTTGTATTCCTCATTGAGTATTGATGTGCAACTGTTGGTCCAGGACTCCAGTTTTGTTGGTTTCGTTGTATGTTTCTATCCTTTCCCTCTATGATTATTTTCCAAATGACGCCATAAAAGGTTGTTTTAATATGCTTAAAATCATAACATTGATGCAAGTGTAGGTATAACATCAACCTTCTCAATAAATACTTATGGCTTCCTTTATAATATCGACGTTAGGCCGAAAGCGATCCTTCTCCAGTCTGAAGAAGCAGGGTTTGGATGTTGTCATTTAAAGTTTGCCGACGCGTGATTCTGCCCCGGGGACGGAATGTTCACTGCGATACACGCCAACATGCTTGGTCCATTTCGGTGCCCGTTATTCTCCTCCAAACATAATGAAGTACAACTGCTTCCTAGCTGCTGACATTGCAAGTCATCTCTGTAGCTAATGCTTTGAGCAATTAGGACTGTTCCTTGTCGTATTATTCGCTTAGTACAGTATGGTTCTCACCAGGTTAAATGCACGGGTCAACGAGCTATGTCATAAAATCCACATGAAATTCAATAGGACTTCATCATCATGCAATCTACCTGTCATTTACTGACAATAAGCTGGTAGTCTACATTCAACATAATCATCGGCCACCCCGTGAGAAGCAGTGGATATTTTTTTAGGCTCGGCTCGCCCAATTACGGCTCGCTGTCGGCTGCGCGCGGCGCGTGGTAGAGCGTTGAACTCGCCCGTGCTCCGTCCGCCGACTGTCTGACGGACCTGCGCGCGACCACGCGACGTGAGAGCTTCCGGTGGGAAAGGTACGCGCTGCCCATACTGGTGCACTGTGCCATCGTAACGGTGTCGGACCGCGGCGAATTCTCGGGCCGCCGCTCACCCGACCGATAAACCAACGTGGGAGCCCACAGGCGAGACGGAACGAACCGGCATGGAAAGGGAAGAAAACCCGAAAACGAAAAAAAAAAACAGTTTGCTGATGCTTCGGTCTAGATCAACATTTTATTGATGTAGAGAAGGGCGGTTCGCGGATTGTTATGGTTCAGTGTTCCGTGAACGGTAAATGCACCTACCACTCGGACGACGAGAAGAAAGTGAAATAAAGAATGGCTATTTGCCTTACACTACAATTTTAAAGCATATGTGCTACTTACTATATGAACACAAAAGTCGACTGATCTACACACACACCTATGTCAACAAAAGTAATGTTTTAGTCGTCTTGCGCACCATTCCTTATTATTGAGTGCTGTGTTGATCTTGTGAGTACCATTTGTTAGTATGTATCGTCTGTTTCGGCTAACCTCTGTGTAGTCATGTTCCATGTCGTCTCACAACTTGCCGTGGCAGTGTCTGTGGCAGTGTGAGCGGCTGTGTTCTGAGCCGTTCCGTCCCGCTCCTGTGAGTCGCTGACGCACGGCCGGCTGTTCTGTTCCAGGCGCCGCCATGCCGCCGCTGGGTGTCCGGTCCCGGCTGCTGCCGCTGCTCCTGCTGCTGTCAGCCACCGTCACCCAGGCGAGTCGACCCGCCCGACTCCCCATCCCAGTACATAGAGTGGGACGGCCCAGTCGGGTGACACCCCCACGGTCGAGCAGCCCCCTCCGCTCGTCGGCCCACTCCACTCCAGTTGGGCGACCATCCTCAGTCGAGCGGTCCCACCCGAGTCAAGTGCAGGGATCACTTCTCTCTGATCTATTATAATAAAGTGCTTAATTTTCTGACTTAAGTCACATTTCAAGACTCAGATGGACTATTTTTCCTTCTGCAATTAATCACTTACTATCTTCCTCCTGCTATTTTATTAATCGCTTAAAAAATTATTAATCGCTTACTATCTACCGGCTAGTGTCGGTCCGAACATTGCAAACAACTCGGCCCGGAAGCATAATGGTAGCAACGAGCACCACTGATCTTACATTGATACAACAGTTTGATGCTAACTGGGTGTGTGGTTGTTCATCGTCATCTGAATTTCAACCACGTCAGATTAAAAGCCGGGAAAAGTATCCAGCCACGGCCGAAATCGCCTCCGGCGGCAGGCCTACAAATACAAAGCTGAAGCTGAAGTTCATGTTTTGGGTCGAGATGGCAAGCACGATACCACCGTCAATGCGGACGCCACCACCATCACCGCCGAGCCGCCTCGGCTCCCGACATCCGCACCGTTACCGGCCCAAGTAGCACGTGTTTTTTATTCAGCGGTACGCACCACGATGGTGTTCTTGTCTGTCGCACGTGCGGTGTGAAAAAGGTGCCTCCGGTGGCCCGGCAGGCCCGACTGATCCGGTGACCCAGTCGGTGGTGTGGTTGTGCGGCAGAACGTGCGCCAACGGTGCCGTTCTGACCCGGTCACCCGCGGCACGGCGGGGTCGGCCGTGACAACACAGCAAAACAGCGCACTGTGGTGATGCTGTGCAGAGTGAGCACATTGAGTGTGCTCAGTTTTAAGCACTCTGGTCCGACGAGAGTTGATCCTCAACGCAAAATTGGTCTCTTGAAGTTCGTTTGTAGCTGGATTGAGACACCTGCATGCTGCTTAGTGCCTATATTGCAGGTTTTATCGGACTGTAACAAATTTGCAAACTTCACCAATAACGCTACATCCTACACTTATCTTGTGTGCTATGCCATATGCATTACGTTCTCCGCATGTTTAGTGTTTACCCTCGCAATCTCGCATGTGATACTGTCCTGTGTGGCACTGCAGTCTCCAGTGCCGTCAGCACTTCTAGAGGATAGGCTGCTATGTCTTGCTGCAGTCTCCATTTTCGTCGGCACTTTGAGAGGATATGCTGCTGTGTTTTGCTGCAGTCTCAGGATACGCTGCTGTGTTTCGCTGCAGTCTCCTGGTGCGGTCGCTCGGGCTAGGGTTATGTTCCTTCATTGCGTTGCAGTCTTCGTGGACTATTCAAACAAAGAAACTATGGGGTGCAGCATGATTGCCGAATGGTTTTCGCAGTGTTTGTGATGTGTTTATTGCTTTGCTCTTGTATTTGACTTACCTGATCTTGTAATCTTCCACCCTTCGCTTTTTTCTTTCTTTTGCACCGCATCTTCCGTGGCAGTTCACGTGTCATGCATCGACTTCCCATACTTTTCTCACCATGTGAGCGACACTGATAGCTTAAAGGGACCCTCCCACCTTCAAAAAAGTTAATGAATTGGCACGAAAGTGATGTCGCTCGGTTCAGAAAGAGCGAAAACGAATATCTACCAAATTTCATCGAAAAATATTCACCGGTTTTCAAGATATTAGACTTTTACTTTTGTTTACTTTTTGGGATCTCCGCTGTTCCTAGCGACTTTATTTGAAAGTGCGGCATTTGTTGCGCGCAAAGCAGCATATACCACCGCGTGCTACCAAACGTTTTAGTAAAAGATTTAAAAATCGTTAGATCTCCGCTGACGTCACAAATTCTAAGGGGGCATACCAATGCACTAGCCCCTTAGAATCCGAAAACTGCAAGTTTGAAATTCCATATCTCCGAATTAAAGCATTTGTCGATGTTGTGAGTGCCCAAACCGGTATTTGCAGGCCATGGCCACCAATTTGGCTATCTCAACTCAAAACTAATGTTAAGGTGGGAGTGTCCCTTTAAATAGCCTCATATCGCGCACTTCGCCAACACTACTCGACAAAGTGCTTGCAAATTGTTTAGCTTTCACTTATCTCTAATCTCCGGGAAACGATTGTAGCGTTTCAATATGCGGGCCGTTAAACGGTTTCTCTGATTCCAGTTTTATCAAGCTGGTTCGATCCCTATATCTGTCGATGAGACCGTTTTGAAGAGCTGTTACTTGAATGGCTAATCTCTGAAATTGCCAACGGAAAGCTTTAGCTCTGTTACCATAGATAATGGCGTGCATTTGGGCCAGATCAAGCGAGCTTCGTTCGTCTACACTCAGCCTAGACTCCAAATCGTTGGGACTGAGCTAGAGTTCGTTCGCCTACTGCTCTGTAGCGCAAGAAATGAGAGCCATCCAGGCCACGCAGATGACAAGAAGCTGTTTCATTGTCTTTTGATAAGGCCCGGAAATGCTCAATCTGAATAGTAGCTACTAGTCCAAGATGAACTTGACAGCGGCAGCGATGCACACACAGAAAAATATTGACACCGTTAGCGGTGTAATTGCACAGTACATATCTGAGCACTTGAGGAAAGTTAATTTAGTCCCTTCCCCGCTTAAATTACTCGCGCTTCTAAATGAACACCAAGAAGAAGGTAATAGAACACTGTTAGGAGGGTTGGGTGTTTTACTACATGTAGCACTACATGTAGCAAAACACCCAACCCTCCTAACAGTGTTCTATTACCTTCTTCCTGGTGTTCATTTAGAAGCGCGAGTAATTTAAGCGGGGAAGGGACTAAATTAACTTTCCTCAAGTGCTCAGATATGTACTGTGCAATTACACCGCTAACGGTGTCAATATTTTTATGTGTGCATTATCTGGGCTAGCATCCAGCTGTAGCATTCGAGGTAGTGTGATGTCCCGATATCCGACAAGGCCTAAAACCAGGTCACGGGACGATGCTGGGCTATGTGAACGATTCTGTGTGAATTATATTGGTCACCTCATGACTCATTGTAGTGAGCCAATAACTATCGGAAGCTGGACGGACTCATGAAGCATAGGTATTTGCGTCTTTCCTAGAGCGGTTGTAAATTGTTTGTATTACGCTCACGGAACAAGTATGAGGTGCACACAAACATAACAGTCATCTTGTAATTTAAACGTTTAGCCGACAGCCGATTCCCCAGCGGGACAGCTGGCCTCACCTGTCGCCCTTGTACCGCGGCCCCGGGTCGAACCGCCAGCCCCGGTCGGCGGCCGACTCCGCTGGCTGGCAGCCCGTCCCACCCGGGCCGCTTTGGCACCGTCGTCGTACCGGCCGGCGGCGAGTCGTTTGGCACCGTTGTCCGCTCCCTGGGGAGCGACTCGCGCTGTCGGAGTAGCGGGTCGCCCCTCCCTCCCCTCCCCGCCCCGGCGACTGGGCTGCGAGCGACACGGGCCGGAAGGTACCGTGGGAAGACGGCCCGGAAAAAGCCACAACTGGTGCGGATTGCCTACTGTTGCGCTCGTGCCTAGGTGTGTGTGCGTGCATGCATGTGCGCGGCACAGGAGAGGAATCAGTGAAGAAGACATGTGTTATCAGAGCTTTCCGTAAAGCCTTTGTTAGGAAACAATCTGCTGATTTTGTCCCCATATGAATATCTCGATAGTAATAGACCTAGTATAACTTACATACGCTTACAAATGTGATAGACGTACTGACTGACTTTATCCTAGGTTGATTATAATTTATAATTTTTTCTCCCACAGATTATGTCTTCTCCGGCATCTGATGAACAGACGACGTCTCAGCCCAACTACCGAGAAACCAAGCCCAACAAATTTGTCTGTGAGTACCGAACTTTTCTCCGACATCTTGGACCTACGCCCTACGGTCATGGTTGGTCAGTGAGGTAATACTTGTGTCATTCAATGACTTGAGACGGATGCTTTGTTTATCCTTAGCGTCAGTAGGTGATACAGACAAATGACTGATTTCCTGGACCCTGTATACCTACCGAACATTTCTATATCGTTCGACCAGACCAAAAACTACAGTCACAGATCCAGAGCAGCCCATCTGTCGCTGCTGGAGCTCTGTGGACCGACGTCGGGGCGCCCGAGCCCGTCGCCGCCGACCCGTTAGTACGCCGGAAGCCGGAGCGGTGCGGTACGGCAGTGCGGTCTGTGCGGCTGCGCGGTCTGTGGACACGCTCCGCCGCCCCCAGACGGTCGGACGACGGGGCTAGAGATGTTCCAGGAGGGCGGGCTGTACCGGGAACTATGGCAGCACGGCAGATTAGGTCCTGGAGGGGTACATTGACAGTGGTAGTATAGGAACTGGAAGAGTGATCGGGCATGTGATGGCTAGATCAAAATTAGTGACCAATCTCTATTGTAAGGGACAGCTAGATCACGGTGCGCTGGTAGCAGCTCGGACATCCGGTGCCGCCATCAAGCTGTAGTTTGTAACGACTTTCAGGCCCTGATGTCCTCCGCCTTTCAGCACTAAATGATCTTCGCTTCACTAATAGTTACTAATTGCAATATTTGCACAATTCATCCCACCGAGTTTGACCTTTCCTCCCCCGTTTACAGCGGTGAACGTGGCCTGTACCAAGTCCACTCTGATGGTGGTAGCCGCCATGAACGACCCCTTCTACGGCCTCGTGTACGCGCGCGGCTTCCCGCAGACATGCCGCTCCCACAGCCACGGACAGCGCCGCGTCAAACTGAAGGTCAACGTCGAGGACTGCGGGGTCAAGGTCGTCGAGGACGAGGTAGGTCGGCGAGCATTTGATGCACGTTTCTGCGTTGGAGATTTGCTGCTTGGTTTCGTGTGCTAAATGCAGTAGCTGTTCCTTATTTGTGTCGCATTGCCTGGCAGCTGTTATGCCTTTTTATAGTCAAGTGTCGTTTTATTGTCGTGTTCTTTTAGCCCCATCTCTCATCTGCCGAGTTATTGACGTGTTTTTACTTGCCCTTATGTAAACCATTCGTTCGTTTTTTTTTTAGAACGAGAGCACGCACTACGAGATGATGGTGTACGTGCAGTACGACCGTCACGTGCAGCAGGCCATTGACGAACAGGTGCTGGTCCGCTGCAACCCCGACGAGCGGATCGTCGTCAAGGCGAGCATGAGCCAGCCGCGGGACGCTGAGCCGGAGGTCACCGAGCGACCCCGGCCGCTGCTGGTCAAGGCCGCCAGGTCAGTCACCGCAGTGGGAGGGAGGGTGACGGGTGTTCTTAGGAGTCACTGCTCGTAGGCGGGATGTTTGCTGTGCTGATTTTGTTTGCACAGATGCTGTAGAGATGAGTCTTATGGTTGATGAGCAAACAGCCTGATATGTGCTAGCATATGAATCGTTCGTTATGCTAGCATTTGTATGAGGCTATCCATATTTATCGCTTTTGAGGAATCTTTTGCAATCCCCTTGACACCTTGTCAGGCGAAACTGATTCCAACCGTCATCACAGATTTTAATGAAATCTGAGCATAGTACAGAGCATCGCGATCTGCCCTACAGTTTCTGTTAAAGCGGCTTCCGTCATGTTACGTCTCGCCGGTGGCAAAGCACAGGTTCCATCAGCCCGACTGCAGCTCCGTTATCACACGGCCCATTATCAGCTGATACACTTCAGTGATTCGATGACATGCGCCTCCCAGACAGTCACGCCTCGCTGGACATACGGTTCATCTTATCGGCACATCCATGCCTGCAATCGACTCGTAATTACTACGGTATTGAATAAACTTCTGCTCCGTGATGCATTATACCGGTGTGCAAAGCATGCACATGTTAGGCCGTCATGCCATCTGGTGTGCATTGTTTTTATATCTTCCTACCGTTTGCAGCTAATGCTGGTTCTATTTTTCATCCTATTTCCTATCAGCAGTTCCTTCTATAACCCGTTAGCGCCATCAGCACAGCTCGTTGAACAGATGGTCACGTGATGGCCGGAGGGCAGGCCCGGAGCTGGCCGGCCGTCGCAGCGGTCGTGCGGGCCAGCCCGGCCCGAGGGACTAGCGGTGGCTGCGGGCCCGCCGGCTACCGGGGCCAGCCAATCGTGACGGATGACCGAGCTGGCCAGCGCTCGAACAGAAACAATAGGCGGTGAACAGAGAGAAAATCGATTTTGTTCTTTGGCTAGCAGAAAAGGTGCTGAATAAGCATGTCATAGCTGGAAGGGATACCCACATCAACGGGGCTTGGGCTACAAATTTGAAATGCTTGCCGTTATCAGCATCTATGTAGCTAAAGAGCACAATATTACTGATACTTACGTACAGCCCACCGCTAAAGTAATGTAGGGTTTTACCAATCTCAACGGTTGGCTTTGACTGGCGATTGTTTAATGCGGAGTGATCGAAAAGAAGATGTCAATAGCTAAAGTTGCAGCTGCAAGGGTGACGATACATATAAGCTACATTCAAAGTTTCATTGTAGTCTGGCTAATCGTTCCTAAGCTTCAGAAGCAGAACATACCCATGACTGAAACGCCACATTACTTCTGCTGTGGACTGTACATTGTGTGATGACCGTACTTGTTTTCGGTAAACATCATTTTCACTTTGCGACCTGTTCTCTCCAGGCTGGCGGATGACGTTGAGCGTTTGCCCGGGCACGCTGGCCGCTTCGCTGGTCTTCCCGCGGGAGGTGACGCCGATGGGTCACCCTCAGCCGCCTCCGGCCGCCGGTCAACTGCCGGGGACGACCCGTCGCCCACGGCGGAGAGGCACACGGCGGACGCCGACACCGTCTACAGCGAAGGTGGGGGTGCACGGCGAGAGCGTGACGATACTCGGGCATAAAGTACCTATGTATAGTTTACTGTTTAGGAAATCAAATATTGCAATTTAATGCCTTGTCCTGATAATTTGTATCTTCTAGCTTCAATACTCTCATTCAGTCAGATGTCCTTGTAATCTTTGAACCAAACTCTCTGCAACTTTACAATTACGCTTTGGGTCGAATCAGAAGTGTTGAGTTTCCTACTGCCAGGTCCAGACTGACGACCTTCCGACCTTAACCTGACCCGCAGTTGACCTGGCCTGCCGCTCACCTGACCTCCAGCTGACATGACCTGCAGTCGACCTGACATGCCATTGATTTGACCTGCCACTGACCTGCCACTTAGCCGACCTGACCTGCCGCTAACCAGAATTGACCGGCATCCACCTAACCTGACCTGCCGCTGACCTGACCTTTCCTGCCCGGCAGCTGACGGGGAGCTGGCTGATGAGCGGCGCCGGGAGCAGCAGCGGCCGGAGGTAGCCCGCTGCTGGCTGGACATCCTCAAAGGAGAGGGAATCCACGGCGACGCGTACTTTGAGCACCTGGATGTGGGCGACCCCACCACCATGGTCATCAAGACGCGCTTCAACGACCAATCAGGTAAGCACGGGCTCGGCTTTTCTTCATTACCACTGATCCACACCGTTCCGTGCTTCTATCCTCAGGATACTGAAATCCATCTCCTCCACGCCGCAACCCCCCTCCGGGCTGGACAGGCAACTTTATCTCATGCGGGCTGCTCCCTTGGAGCGGCACCGCTGCTCCCGAGGGAGCGCACCCCGTAGCCGGGTGCAGTGAGTGCCTTGGGGCTGGGTGGCCTGTCCTCTGGACGGGCTCAGCCCCGGCGACTCACTAGGGTGCCTGCCCAGACCAATGTCTCCCCCTATATCCTAACATCCTCCCGGCTCTGAAATGGTCTCATTGGACCGAAAGGGCCTAACCCAACAAAACAAACAAAAACAAAATTACCACTGATGAATACTATCCATCAATGCCGCTCAGTTCCATACCGAGTTTAAGGAATAGTGGAGACTCCATAAGTCATGCAAGGAGCACATGCAATCAGTTATTTAAGCCGCCACATCTTGCTGCTCTGAGAACCGCCTTCCATTACTTACACCGAGCACAGCCTCCATGGCACCTTTCCCGCTGAGTGTGGGCTGCCTCTCGACCCACCCGACCCTACCGTCGTCCCGTGCTCCCACAGAGTCGCCTCCGATGGACGTACTGGTGACCAACTGCAGCGCGCACGACGGCAGCATGGCGCGCTCTCAGCGGCTGATTGACGAGGATGGGTGCACCATAGACTCGGCTATCATGTCACCGGTGATCGAGCACGAGCAGCACGGCGCCGGTGAGTGAGGGGAGTCACGACGTTGTGCTGTGGTATGAGGTTCCGATGCGTGATCGGCATTCGGAACTATGGTAAAGGTATAGCCCTGGAGGTCGATTTTGATATATTGAGGTATATCCGCAAATGCCAAATGCTGACACCTTTTGCGATGTTTTCAGTTTCACCTATTGTGTTCCGATATCACCAGTTGCCATCTTTTACCGTCATATGTAATCGATTAAACGTAATAATGCCTGTTATGTTTCATCGTCAAAGGTAGTAAGCGTCAGTAAGTTACAGTAACTTAGACCTGAGGCTCGTTTTATTATAATCCATGGATGAAAACATTTGTCACGTCTCTCCGAGTAACCCCACGCCATCCGTCCCCTCTCCTCCTTTAGGCCACCGGCTGCACTACAGCACGTTCAACGCGTTCAAGTTCCCGGACCGGTCGAGTCTGCACCTGCGCTGCACGGTGCTCGTGTGCAGGGGCCAGTGTCCGCGGCGGCACTGCCGCTCGCGGCGCCGACCGAGCCGCGCGGCCCGCCTCGGGCTGGGTCTGGTGCGGCCGGTCACCGACGCCGAGCTGCGCGCCGCCGGACACTACCCGGTGAGAAATCCATTGGCTGCTCACTTGCCCAAAGGAGCTGCAAGGGATTGTTCAATGTTCATTATATTTATCCTGAAAAGGACATTAACCCGGCAGTTGCTGGGGTATTTCGCCACCCACCGTTTGCTGGGGGAGGGGGGGGGGGCGTTAAACGCCCCCAGCCGATAACTCGAGAACCAATAGGCGCAGCGAAACGCACGAGGCGGCAAACGAAAGAGCGCGACGAGACGCTTCAGATGAGTACTTTAAAGTTGAGTTTTGAGGTCACAGGTCGGGTCAAGGTCAGGTCAAACACCTCAAATCGGCCTTTCAGTAGCATGGACTTCAGGGCTTCGCAATGGGCGCCTCTCGTTATAAACTCTGTCAAAATGGTGCACAATCCATCGTATAAGGCCTACAAGAGTGTCAGCTCCATGTAGGGGTCAGTCAAGCATAGGTCAGGGTCAAGGTCAGGTCAACCGGGTAGGCACATATCCCCGAAAATCAAAACTGATATTCGCAGCCCGTGACACATGTTTTATGGGTAATTTGGGGCGTAGAACACGATGGTGACATTCATTTTATCACATGTGTACGTGTTTGGCTAAAAAAGTTTAATTTAAGAAATGCATGTATCATAGTCGTTAAGTAGTCACGAGAAATTGTCAAGATTCAGTTCAAGATTTTGGAAAATGCGGAACGATAATCAATAATCGAAGATAGTCATTTGATTGTTCATGGTATTGGCAGTCTAATGGCGTTTACGGCATGTCTGTATGTCTATTCTGTGATTTTATATGATTTTTTGAACATACGCCGTTTTTGGTCGAAAATTCAAAAATCATGACGTCACTAAAACCTCGATATCTCAAAAAAATTTCCGACCGATTTTTTTGAAACTTTGTCACAATAAACTTCAATCAATTCCCTACAGGTACCTAAAATTTGGCGCGCCTGCGGCGCGCCGTTTTTATGCTATGGCCCGGCGAAAAAGTGGGGGCGTTTAACGCCCCCCCCCCCCCCAGCAACTCGCGGGTTAAACGCCGTAGGTTTTAGGTTTGTGTAGTTACACTCACGATGTGGTTGTACGGTTATTTATAGAAATAAACTTGAATTAGCGTCTTAATTCCAATCTAACTTGAAAAGTAGTGTACAAAATGTAGTGAAGTACGCTGTTAATTGGTATTCGCTGAGCTCACGACTGTGGCTGCCGTTTCAGATTGACCGTCTGCTGAGAACGCTACAGATGGAGATCAAGGAGGGAAGCACGATCGTCGACAGGATTGAGGTGTTCAACTCTGCCGAGGTGCAGGCGCCGGGCATCGAGGGCGTACCGACCCGACTGCGCTCCCAGGAGCCGCCGGCAGGTCAGTGAGGGATGTTGAACAGAAACTAATGGGTCAGATATCGCAAACTATTTACATACAATGTGATGTTTATGTGAGAATCATAAATTAATAATTACCCACGGCATCGATAAAATATTACGTTCACGACTCTTCGGATAAACCAAACGCCAACCAAGCAACGAGCAACCAAATCTTGTTGCCTCTGCCTTTCAACTAACCGAGGTCTCGACTCCCGTCCTCCCCCCGCCTCTCCATCGCAGTTCTGTGACTTCCCCCCGTCGCTGACTTTCAGATCGCGCTGATCGTCCGTCTCGCGGTGCCGGCGGCGGCGAGTCGTACCTCTCCGACGACCGCCTGCTGTGCATGACCTCGTCCCGGCTGCTGCTGTCGTTCGGCGTGCTGCTGGCCGTGCTGATGGCCTCGCTGCTGCTGGCGCTGCTGCTCTGCGTCCGACAGCGCCAGCAGGCCAAGAAGCTGCGCACGCTGCAGACCTTCCAGCGGATGGGCACGCCGGCACCCACCCCGCACTACTACCGTGTCGGGCCGCTGTAGGGTGCCGCGGCCAGCCGGGGCCGCGGGGACGGCCATTGGTTGACGTGTTCGACTTGGCCAGATTCGGGCATATTTGAAAAGAGACGGTGCAGTGGCTAGTGCATTTCTGTTGTGTTGCTATAGTCGTTTTGCTTTAGTGTATATCAATGTCAGAGATCTGTTGGGGATGTTGCGAACGCAGATTGTTCGTCTCAAGGCAGGCCACAAGAAGCTGGCAGCCGTTGTACAGCGCAGGTGTTTACTATGCTCTGTGGGCGCGGGACCAAAGAAGTATGTTTGTTGTTACCTGATATTCCGGGCATTTTGACGGCGCTTTATACTGGAATGATCAAGCATTGGTATTGCGGCAAGGCATTGATATTGCTTAGATAACTTATCCAGAGGTGTATTGTGCATGCGCAGTTTGCACAAGTGTAAGCTCCAGATTTCTACGTCCATCAGAGTGCCTTGAATACCGTGTATCATAGTCGTAGTTTTTCTGTGATTTGTAGTAGTTTCTGTTTCTCTGGATTTGCGTGCCGCTTATAAGTATTGCGCCGGGAGTTCAGGCTACTGGAACCTGCTGCCCTGCAAATATGGTAAAAGGCCGTGACATCGACATCATTGACGCTTCAATTAAGGCAACACCCAACGGCTAGCCTTATTAAGGGGTGCTGCCAAAAGCATTCTGCATTTGTTTTTGATGAGTTGTTCGATGTAAATAAAGTGTGATGTACCGATATTGTTTGTGAGCTCCACGATCCTAACGCCGTACCTCGTACATTTGATTTAACATTCAGTCCGACTCAGTCCACTTGCCATCCGATTTTTATCGATGAACGGTTGGCCTTTGCTATCCGTTTGGTATTTGACCGTGTGTAACAGTGTCAGCCGCTGTAGGCCATGTCAGAGCTTGTACGACCGAGGCGACCTCTACTTGGAGTCGACGACTGCGCCGGCCGCCGTCGGGCAGTCAGTCTTCGTCACTCTAGTCTCGGTCTCGGTCTCGGTCTCAGTCGCGGTCGGTCTTGGTCTTGGTCAGTCTCTGCCGAGTCTCGGCAGCCCACCGACGATTCGCGCTCGGTCACTCGCTATGTGACCCAGTCTCTCTTGCTCTCGGTCACTCTCCTGGACTGACTCTATCTCTCGTCTGTCTCGAGTCAAGAAATACAGTGAGGTGCCGAACTGAACTCTTTTATCAGAAGATTCCACGGCGAACATTTTAATTTGTTACACCGTGCCGTCCTATACTGACCGTATTGCCAAGAAGTTACTTTCGGGACTTCGGGTATGTCATCGAGAAATATGGGGAAGTCTCGCTGCTTATATTCCATGAAAAGTTTTGTGAAAAATAAACGTTATTCAATGTTACGCCCAACATAGGCGGCGGAACGGGGAGGGCACCGGGGCACCGTGCCCCCCTTTCAATTTTCATTTCGGCATTTTAACATTACCCCTATGGGCGTTGCATGGAAAGAATGGGATCAAAAATCGGCAGTGCCCCCCCCCCCCCCCCCCGGCAGTAGCGGCGGAACACCTTCACCTTCACCGGGGCACTGCCGACTTTTGGTCCCATTCTTTCCATGCAACGCCCATAGGGCTAATGTTAAAATGCCAAAATCAAAGGGGGCACGGTGCCCCGGTGCCCTCCCCGTTCGGCCGCCTATGCCCCCCGGAAGGTGTTCCGCCGCTACTGACGCCCAAGGCGATGAACCTATAAAAATATAAGTCCCGAGGCCTTAGTTCCTTTCGGTTTGATGCTTGGATTCTTCAAGCTCGAAGTGCATAAAACATGTGACACATTTGATTGATACTTGAATCATAAAGAAGAAATATGATGCATGGAATATCCACCGTGGGAATATCATTTTCATTTACATCTGTTTTTGCTGCGCAAGCATTTCTAGCATTAATTTCAAAATATTTTAATTAGCTGCGGCTACTAATGAACTTCAGAGACATATATTGTGCATGTGAGACAAACCCTTTCTGAACGACAAAAATAAACAATAGGTACAAAGGCGTGTTCGTTTTGTGCAGTTTTGTGTATTTTTTTGGGCGAATATCGCATTTTAAAGGATATGCAACCTTGATTTTTGGAATATTAGGTGTGCGATAATACGAGAAGGTTAAAAGGCAACTCAGTGCCGAGTCCTCTGTATTTGCAATTTGTTTCATCCAACAAGTCAACAACAAACAGTCCCCAACTCTTGCCCCAACTGCAACCCGATACTCTGGCTTCAGCTTAGCTTTTGCTTCATATGTTGATATAAGAATTCATTCAGAATTCTTGTGTGTGGGCTGTGGCAACACACATTTGGTTATACTCTTGCTTCAGATTTCTTGCGGGGAGGACGTGGCAAGAACAGCTGATTGACTTTCTAGTGGTGACGTGGCGGTGGAAGACATCTTGGATCTTTAAGTTTTTGGTTTCAGTTTTGTTTAATTTCAATTCGTTCATCATTTATAAAATCCCAGTGCACAACGGTATGTAAAATGAAGCCGGGAAGGCCCGGTAAACGGGTGAGGGCTGATGAATCTTTTTTCGATCAAGGAAACAATGAAAACTCCGGGTCGTACCTCAAAATCAAACTCCTCTCGGGGAAAACACTTAAATCCAGAGGCTGGCCATGGGTGCAGTTAGGTGTTAGAGGTGTCCTGGGGGATGTTGACAAGTTGGAAAAGGCTAGTTTTTTGACTGATGGATCTTTGCTCGTCAAAACGAAACATGCTCTCCAAACTGAAAAGTTTCTGAAAGTTAGGAAATTTGCAAATGAGGACTGTGAAGTATTGAAAGATGAAAGGCTGAACACATCACGGGGCACTATTCGTGCATATGACTTAGAAGAACTTAGCGAGGACGAGGTGGTCCAGTGGCTAAAGGACTTTGGGGTTGTTGGAGCAAAGCGCTTCACCAGGAAAGTGAATGGACAAACACAAGGGACCCCAACCCTGCTACTTACCTTTGACAGACCATCCTGCCCAACAAAACTGCAAATGGACTATGTGACATACCACGTGCACACGTATATACCAAACCCCCTGCTGTGCTACCGGTGCGGCAAATTTGGGCATGCTCAGGAGCGATGCACTAAAGACAAGGTATGTCTAAACTGTGGACAAATGCCTCATGAGGGAGAATGCACGCCCCAGTGCATCAACTGCCGACGCACTGATCATGGGTGTCAATCTCATGACTGTGAAACATGGCAGAAAGAGAAAGAAATATGTAGGATCAAAGTGGAAGAGGAGGTATCTTTCAGCCAAGCCAGGAAACTGTATGATGACCGCCATGAGCCCCCTGTTCTCAGAAATTATGCTGCCACTGTGCGCACTCCACATATTACTGGAAGGCAGGAGGATGAGGAGTTGAAAGGAAAGGTAGAAAAGCTAGAGAAGAAGGTAGATGAGATGATGACATTGCTCAAAAAACTGACTGAGTCGCAGATCACAGAAAGTACCTCTAAAGGTGCTGCTAGTACAACAGACACAGTACGTGTAAAGGAAACCCAGAGGGATGTATTACAGAGATCGAGAGGTGATGAGACAATGGGAGATGCTACAACAGACAGTGATGAAGGGGAGGTGAATGATACGAGGAAAACTCATGAAATTACGCAACCCATGGAAAGAGATGAGGGAGACGAAATGATTCAGACATGTGACTTGACACAGACAATAGACACAGTGAAAAAGACCAAAGATGCTGCCAAATGGCAGACTGTACAAAGGCAAAAGGGTTTAGGACGAGGAAAAGGCAAAACCAAACCACAGGTATCTGCTTGTCCAGATACCATCCCCCCCGCTCCCCCGCTTGTGAGAGCAGGCATATCCAATGAAAGAGCAGGGGACAAACCCATGACAAGAAAGCAGTCATGGGTAGATATTTCACAAGCGGCATCAGACAACTGATTGGAGTGAATAGTATATTCACTAGTAGCTAGTTAGTTTTTCTTTTCTTTAAAAAAACAAAACAAAAAAAAAACAAAACAAAAAACAAAAAACAAAAAACAAAACAAAAAAACAAAACAAAAAACAAAAAAACAAAACAAAAAACAAAAAAACTTCTCTAAACTCTAGAGGCAAACACATACTACACCATGGTGAAAATAATGCAATGGAATTGTAGAGCATTGATTGGAAAATGGGCTTCTGTCAAACCCTTCCTTATGACCCAAACATGTGATGTTTACTGTTTACAGGAAACTCACTTCCTTCCATCAGATGAATATGATTTTAACTTGCCGAATTACACAAGGTATGATGTTTTTGGCAATGATGAAAGGAGACAGGGAGGTGTGTGTATATATGTTACTAACAGGATTCCTCACAGACTGATAACTGTGAACACCAACTTACAAGCTGTGGCCTGCTCCATACGAATGGGCAGCTCAACCATGCACATCTGTTCTCTTTACCTACCCCCCACTGAACCTTTACAATATGAAGAGTTGGAAAGTCTGATTAAGCAGCTCCCGGAGCCCATGGTTATCTGTACGGACGCCAACAGTCGTCATATGCTTTGGGGTTCGGATCGATGTGACCGAAGGGGAATGATATGGGAACGTTTGATCAGAACTTTTGGACTCAATGTTCTCAATGATGGTAGTGCTACTAGAATTGATGATTACACTGGGCTGTACTCCCATATCGATCTGACAGTATCTTCAGGATCAGTCGCCCCCCACGCAATGTGGATGACTGAAGATGATCCTCATGACAGTGACCATTTCCCAATTTATATAACACTGAATAATGTTGTTGACCCTTCACAGGACTCAGACATTTTTTATGGATGGAACTTAAATAAAGCAAACTGGAATGAATTTAGAGAAAAGTGTACACTCAACTATGATGATCAACTGGGAGTAGAAAACTGCAAAGTTATGACAGACCTTATTGTCTCAGCAGCAACAGAGACAATACCTAAGAAAACTGGACATGCAAAGTACTGCTGTCCTTGGTGGACAGATGAGTGCAAGAAAGCGATTACAGAACGGAAAAGGCTATTAAACCGATTTAGGAGAAATAGAGAGGTCCCAGGACTATTACTTGAATATAAAAGAGCAAAGGCCAAAGCCAGACAGGTTATTAGGCAGGCCAAGAAAGACTCCTGGCTTAAACTCCTTAGCCTCTTCAATTACCAGACCCCCTTACCCAGGTTGTGGGAGATACTGAGGAAATTCACAAGGAAAACGAGATACAACAGACCTTTACCCGTACTCAGTATAGATGGACGTATTATCGATGATACTTTTGAAGTTGGGAATACACTTGGACGATACTTTGAAAGCATCTCCTCGCAGGAGAACTACTCAGAACATTTTCGTACACGAGTTGATGACATTATTAGAACTATGCCTGATTTCCGTTCTAACAATGCTGAATGCTACAATGACTTATTCACCTTACCTGAACTGACAAACGCCATAAAACGATGTGGAAATACGTCTATAGGACCGGATAGACTGCATTACGCTTTTTTTAAACATATGGGGAATACTCAATACGGAGAACTTCTTAAGATGTTTAACGCAGTCTGGACGGAAGGTATTTTTCCGACAGACTGGTCACATTCATACGTGGTCCCTATCCTGAAACCTGGGAAGCCGGCTTCCAACCCTCAGTCATACAGACCAATTCAACTTACCTCATGCATGGGTAAAATCATGGAAAGAATGATAGCTGAAAGGCTCAAATGGTATACCGAAAACAAAGGAGTGCTATCGAAATA